GATTCATAAGTCGCCCATTATGCAGGTTATCCCAAGTAGAACCTGTCCCCCCAGCTTTTTTTTTTTTTTATGAACATAGTAACACTGGAACAAGGCCCTCTTTAAATGTTATTCACTTTATGGTATTCCCAAAGACTTACTTTAGCATTGCATCCTATGGTGTAATAACATTTCACTAATTCACCTCTCTGCACCTTTGTCAATTTCATGTTGGTTGAATGAGATTTCCTCTGACTTACAGGCCTATTTATACCAATGGAAAATATGCAAAAGGAACCACAGTAGCACCCCTAGTGGCAACATGTGACAACTACAGCAGATTGTACTTGACTGAACTTTACCATATAATCTTTTATTTATTTTAATTTCTGTGTAACTATACCACACATTTTATGTACTTATTTAATTTTTTTTTTTACTCAAGTCTGTTAAATGTTTTATTTTTCATTTTAGATTTAGTTCAGAACCAGGTATTTGTAAAAAAAAGCAAGTATTTTGTAAGATAAACAGAAATAAATTTTAAAAATTAAAACAGAGGATGTTTGATGATGGTTCTTTTCTATGTTAAGGTGTATCTGTTGTATCTTTGGATAAATCTCTGGAGATCAATCATGTGATGGCTTCTGTTGGAGATAATGTGGAGATCAAATGTGATGTCAGTGGAACCCCACCCCCACCTATTGTGTGGCGGAGGAATGATCTGGATCTGTCAATTTTGAATGAAGAAGAAATAAAGGTATTTTTTGCATTATATCTTCCTTTTATAGTATTTTTTTTAACTGTTGACTGGTTGATAATGTCAGATAATAATTTGGCTCTTGGAAAATATATACATCTTACTTTATCACAAATATTCTTATGCTTAAGCCTGAACAAAGCTTATATTTTAGAGATAGCTTCTTCTGGTGTTCTGATTTGTAAAGATATGAATTTCTGATCAGTCTGTTTTAGAGGATTGTCTTAATTTTGTTTTAGTTCTGAAATATATATAGTTAATTTACTTGTATGAGGAAGCAAGTTATGTTAATGCAAAAGCAAATTAACAAATAACTGTTTATAAACATAATGGAAATTATTTTATGTAGAGAATATACTACATGTTAGAGCAGAACATTGGTCTGTCATCTGTTGAAATATGTAGTTTGTTCTATACATAAAATAATTTTCAATATGCTTATAAATCAATGTTTGTCAATTTACTATAGTATAGTCGGCTTTTGTTTGTTCAGAAATAATTTAATTTTTAAGTACATTTATAATCACAAAACCTAACAGCTTATGAGAAAACATCTTGTTAAAAATCTAGGTTGTCTGTTCTGTTTTTGAATTTTAATGTTTTTCTTTGCAATTATATTAATTTAAGACATTTAACAGATATATATATTTTTTCATAAATTTTGCATATTATACTTATTTTTGGTTTACCCAGGCAGGTAACTAAATCTTTGACTCTTTTAAATATCAAATAAGTAATATTTTTTATTCATATAACGTAAGATATGTATTTTTTTTACTCTGGTGTAAAATAATTGTATAAAACATTTATGTTAAGTTTCAATAACTGTAGGTTTTTCGTAACATATTATATTTGCTATTAGGTACTTCTCATTTAAACAGTATGATTAATTCACCATGTCCACATGTAACAGTTTCATATATCTTTCATGTGATTCAAGACTTTTTTTTATATTGGACATGTTCTTTATATTTATTCCATACAATAAATTGTATTACTTTATATATTTCTTTATACAATAATAGAAAATTTGATGCAGATATTTTAACAATATTTGTGATTAAAAATATGTATCTTTCTACTATGCATGAAATATGTCACATGCATCATGGATAAATATTGAATGCAATTTCATCTTTTTGGACCCAATGGTAAGGTTTTGAGATGTATAGTTAATCCATTTTACTTTTCTGTTCTATAACATTGAAATTTAGTTTTGATTTAACCATTAAGCCACTTTAAAAATATTGTGAAATTTAAAAAGAAAATAATTGAATGAAATTCATAGGTTTTTGTTGATGGGTCCCTCTACTTGACCAATGTTCAGCTTGTACATGGAGGAAATTATACTTGTCATGCCCAGAGGAACAGAGATGTTTTTCAGACCCATATCCTTCATGTTCACAGTAAGTAATTAATTGAAAAAAAGCATCACAGCAGGACATATTAATATTTAAATATCTACATATTTTTTATTTTTTCAAGTTAAATTTTAAATGATATTGTTGCGTCATCGAGGTCACGTGACTGGTGTGGCGCCCTCTAGTTTCTAGAACTATCTTGTTCTTTCAGGAATGCTCTAGTATTTACTAGATAGGGTAGGCTGGTATATATAACAGGGGGAAAACGTGACGCGGGAGGGGAATGTAATGTGTGTATAGATAGGGAGTAATTGAACTGCAGTCATAGTGTATTGTTGAAGTTAACGTTCGTTCGTTACAGTGTTGTTTTAGCGCGAGTATTGAGATTAAGTGTATCGCAGAGTTATATTCGGAAAGAATAAACCAGTTTTATAAAGTAAAGACTTGTGTCGTTAAAGTTTCGTTGGAACG